TGTAGTATCTTGAGGTTACAGAAAGAATGTAAGCTTGGAGCCTGGTCAAAAATAAGTTGTGATGACAAGACAGGTTAGGGGAAGAAGAGAAGAGGAGGCCTGGCTAGCAGAGGGAGTCTTGTTATGTAGCTGAAACCTCACAGGTAACAACCCTGAGAGAGAGTAGATGGTAAATATTTCTTTTACACCTCTAAAGGTGTCAGAGTCTCAGCTAGCCTGTCCTGGATGTGGACAAGAGAAGGCCCTCAGAGAAAGCCTGGCTATATCAATGCACATTTTCTCTGAAGATGAAAATTTTCTCCCACCAAAGATAGCCCTTCAACTATATATATTTTCATCGCTTCTGAACAGCCATCTTGAAATATATTAAAGAAACTCATTTGGGGATGACATATTATGGTTTCCTTCAGAGTGCTCTCCCTCTTTTCAAACAGCTACTACAGGCATAATATTTTCACTTCTGGTTCTTTTCAAAGGATTGAACAGGATTCATGTAAGTTAATGTGTAATTATATGTTCATAAATCTCTTGAGATTTTAAGACATGTGTGAATTTCATTTTCAGGCTACGTTTATTGAGCTGCTCGGACTAAATCATTATATGGTGATCTTTGGGTTTTTTATGAGCTTTGATGAAGTCCCACCAACCTCAGATGAAAATGTCACTGTGACTGAGACACAATTCAACAACATTCCTGTTCGTGTATATGTGCCAAAGAGGAAGTCAGAAGCACTAAGAAGGGGATTGTTTTACATCCATGGTGGTGGCTGGTGTTTGGGAAGTGCTGGTAAATGAATCCTTTGAAAAACCTATTTCTGACATAGTTTGAAAAAAAATTTTACTAAAGCTGTAGTAGGTATACAATGACCTTCACTGTGGATATTACAATCTCTTTGTCTTTTTGTGCTTTGTTCTTTTGACACCATTTTATTCTTCCTTGAAGCTTCTACTCAGTCCTTTCCTATATGCCTTTCCATATCAACTTAAGTAGAGATGAGAAGACAAAACTTTTCCTAATTATTGCAGTTATTCCAAGAAAGCACACAGTGGTGTCTCTAGTATTCTCCACTTGACATCACAGGATGATCTAATCTGTGAATTCATTTGCTCACACACTTTGTATGTTTCTGCCAATGTTATAGGAGCAAAGATAGCATTCTTTGCCTTCTTGGAGCATACATTCTTTTTTTTTTTAAAGACAGAGCCTCAAGCTGTCCCCCTGGGTAGTGTGCT